ATTTATTTTATTTTATTTTATTTTATTTTTTCTCTCGGCTCTTTCTTCTTTCAGTTCTTTGAGTTCTTTCCTTTTGCTTTTGGCAGATTTTCTAATTTATTTTTATGCTTGTCTAGAATCTAGATGATGTTGGTCCTCTGGTTTTTTTGAGGGTTTTTGTGGCTTAGTTGTTGTTTCTATAGATTAGTGCATTACTGCCTTGCATTTGTTTGGTGATGCGCTTGATTGATTTTGTTTACTCATTAAAACAGATAATAGAGATATACCTAATCAATCAATCACTTCCCCAAAAATGGTTTGAAAAATAGAATTAATCATGGTGCTCATAGAAAATTAGATTGATTTGATTTGGAAATATAGCACATCCTTGATCCTTGTGGTTTTTTGCAAGATAAATTCATAATTTCTATTTAATGCATCCAATCATGGTGTTTGCAGCTTGCAAAAATGTTTTATTCGTGCTTAATGAAATTTAGATTTGATTTGACTTAAAGGTAATAATAGCACATCCATGTGATTTTTGCAAGATGAACTCAAATTTTCTATCAATTAATGTAGCATCCAAACATTATTGCATCTTTATATATACTATTGCATCTTTAATTCTTTATTGGGTGGGTTTTGTTTTATTTTTTTTCAACGTGCGCCTTACTTCAGTCGGGCGCGCGCCTCGCCTTGCGCCTCAGGCTCCAGGAGGCATTTGCGCTTTTATGCGCCTTGAGCCTTTAACAACTATGTGTGAGACAAAGCTAAATCCCCACACCATCTGTCCTCCCAGAACGTAACATTCCTTCCACTCCTAACTTTGAACTGAATATGTTTTGAAAACTCATCCCAGCCCCTTTGGATCAACTTCCAAGAACCCATACCTGCCGGCCCTCTCGACTTCCTAGACTGCCACCCTTCATCACCCTTCCTGTGATGACAGTAAACAACCTGTCTCTACAGCTTGGGCCTCTCGTTCCCAAATCTCCAAAGCCAGTTACCTAACTTATTGAACACATCCAACCTTCGGATTCCCAAACCCCCCTTTTTGATGGGGGTACACACCCTCTCCCAGCAAACTAAGTGGTACTTGAATTCATCACCCAAACCTCCCCACAAAAACTTCTTCTGAATCACTTCAAGTCTTCAAACAACTGTCAAAGGCATCGGGATAAGAGACATGAAGAAGGTCGGAAGATTAGAAAGGGTGCTTTTCATAAGCGTAACCCTCCCCCCTTTTGACAAGTACTGTTTGTTCCAACCTGAAAGTCTCCTCCCAAACTGTTCAACGATCGGATCCCAAATAGAAATACACCTCGAAGGGGTTCCCAAAGGGAGTCCCAAGTAAGAGATCGGAAACGAGCCAACACCACAACCTAAGATATCAGCTAAAGCATGAATCTCCTCCACCACCCCTACCGGGACGATCTCACTTTTCCCAATGGTAATATTTAGCCCAGAAACAACTTGGAAATAAACCAAAACGCATCTGAAGTACCTCAGCTGTTCAACTTTGGCATCACAAAAGACAATAGTGTCGTCTGCAAAAAGCAGGTGAGAAACAACTAACTGATTGGACGCTCTAACCACTCAAAATCCCTGAAAAAAACTGAGCACTTCCGCCCTCCTCACCAATCTCCTAAAAGTCTCCATGATGAAAATAAATAAAAAAGGGGAAAGAGGGTCCCCCTGACGTAAGCCTCGAGAGCTGGAAAAAAAGCCTGCTGGGGAGCTATTCACAAGGACAGAGAAACGAGCTGTTGAAATGCTAAAAAAAGATCCACAACCTCCATTTGTGACCAAAGCCATTCTCTTCATCAGGTACATCAAAAAATTCCAACAAACATGATTGTATGCCTTCTCAATATCCAGTTTGCCCACAACCCCCGGAACACCACTTCTCACCCTAGCCTCAATGCACTCACTGGCAATCAAAACAGAATCCAGAATCTGGCGCCCACCCACAAAAGCATTTTGAGATTCCAAGATAACCCCGTCGAGAACTCTCCTTAGACGATTGGCTAAGAGTTTCGCTATGATCCTTCATTAGTCTTTCGAATTAAGATCTTGCTCATCCCATCTAGCTAGAGATGCCACTGTCGGCGCTAGTTTCAGGAGTCGCTCTGCCATTACTGCCATCTTCCACCTATACAAATTCCAGAATCTGGACACCTTCTCTAATAGTGGTCGTAACCTTTGTAGCATCTCGTCTCATCAGCCTCAGTCATTTTAAATTCCACAATTGCATCTCCAATAGTTCAGAATAGGGAATCGCACCACACATGGAGGGTTATCATATACACTAACAGTCGGTGCTCCTCTGTCCCCTTTAGAATGCCAGAACAACCAACCCCTAAAACACCAAGCATCCAGTTTTAAGGTTGCTTTGCCCCACGATCTCTTCCCCTCCATCAGAATTTTAATCACCTCTGCATGCGACCGCAACTGAAATAATAGCCGACTGTGCGGCAGCTTTGGCACGGCACCCCACTGTCCATCAGAATTTTAATCACCTCTGCATGCGTCTGCAACTGAAATAATAGCCGACTGTCCGGCAGCTTTGGCACCCCCACGGCACCCCACTGTCCATTCTCCAAGCTTTAGAAGCACCCACTCTGCTATTTTCTCTGTCGATCTCACTGGCTTGTTAAACATCCTACAAGACATGCCTGCAATGCATGTCGCCTCTACCAAATACCCCTATCCTCAAAAACATAATCCTCCTGTCTCTGGCGCTAGCAAAGCACTGGACTCACCTCCGGCATATAGTCATGGAAATCTTGCTACCTTTGCAAACGACCTCATTCTGTTTAATGGACTCATGAGTCATGACATAACAGAAGGGATAAAGTATGAACAATCAGCAAATTAATTTGAAAACAAAAATCTGATTATGATGTGATATTTACGTATATTGTATTTTAGAAAATTATTGTTCTATTTTTTTCTCAAAATCATAACGATTGGTAGATTGACCAGCCCATATCCTTGCTTTAGGTTATGAATGATGCCTTAATATCTTTTGAGTCACCTGGACATTAAATGTTGATGCCATGTTCTCATTGTTATTTTTTCTTGAAGATCTCTCCCAACTGTCATCATCAGTGAGGCTTTCACTCCTAAGTTCCCCACTTTAAAGTGAATATGAAAGGTGTAGGTACCTGATATGGTTAAGGCTCAGCACGATCAGTTGCTCATAATAGGGTTCTTTCTTATAAGATCCTTAAAGAGTCTTACTCTTGACAACCTTAGAAGGAGACGCTAGATTGTGGTTAATTGGTGCTGTATGTGCAAGAGGTCGGGTGAATTCGTGAACCATCTACTCCTTCATTGCTCGGTGGCAAGGGATGTTTGGTCTATGTTTTTGATGGCGTTTAGTCTTTTTTGGGTGTTTCCAGAATCCACGGTTGACATGCTAGAGGCTTGGAACGGGTGTATGGTGGAGAACTGAGTCAGAGATGCTTGGAGGGCTACTCCCCTATGTATTTAGTGGGGTTTGTGGCGTGAGAGGAATAGGAGGGCCTTTGAGGGAGAGGGAGAGAAGCTCCTATTTGGTTACTTAAATACAATATTCTATCTTCTTTATTCTTTTGGGTATATGAGCGGGATTGTACTTCTATGGATCATCTTTTGGATTTTGTAGATAGCTTAAAGTTATAGTGTTGATGTAATCATCTTTTGTTCCTTTGGGAGCGCTCCCCATTTGAATGCCTTTTATGAAATCTTACTTATCAAAAAAAAAAAAAAATGATGTTCTCCTGAGGAGATGATAGATTTGACTTCTTTTGCGCCTTAGGGCCCTCGATCGTTTTTTTTTTTTATATTCTGGACGCGTAAATAGGAGATAAAACCTAATCACTAAACTAAGATAAATGCCAAAAATAGAAGAATCCGAATCCGTTCAGCCCCCTAACAAAAAATTCTGAAATATTCAACAGTTCCCCTATAGCACTGAAAAACACAATTGTCCCTAAAACGATGGTTCAGCCAAAAAATTGACATGAGCCACAAGCAAAGCTAGTAAGTATTAATCTTTGGGCCGTTTCCTATCACAAATAGGTTTTTGCGAGGCAAAGCAAGCTCGTCAATCTGTACCAGAAATATTCTGTACGCTGTCCTACGTCAGTCTCCCTTGCCTGAAAAGAACTCATCCTTTAGTTTGGTTGTGGATAAAGTGGCTTATCATTCAGGTCGGACTTTGTTTGATAACCCTAGCCGTAGAAGTTTTCTTCAACAACAATGGGAACTACACTTTTTTTTTGACAAGTAACAACAATGGGAGCTACACAACCATACGATGACAGCTATCACCACATGACTGCCACCCAACGATGATCAAAAACATGATGACGACGACGACAACAACATGGCGATGATGACAATCAACAGCTTGATGACAATGACCTTTGATGGAAGCCACATGATGATGATCTGAAGAATCTTTGTACGATGTTGATGATGGTTGTATACTTTACTGGCGATGACGATTGACAATGATGAAGATGGCGATCGACGGTGTCTCTGACCGAAATCCTGCTCTGATACCATGTTGAAATTGTGATACAAGGAGGAGGAGGAGGAGGAGAACAGGGTTTTGGGGAAATTTCCTGAGAGGGTTTTTCAACCTCTCACTGCTATTATATATAACTATTTTATATCACAACAAAGTGACCAACATGGTCTTATAAGAAACACTCCAAAATACACCCATATACATTTTAACAATCTGTAGTATGGCCATCAACGTAGGATTTGTATAGCCAATCATTCAAGAGATATATGAGTTTTTCCGATTGTTGTAATTTTTTGATTAGACAAGTTTTTACCTGGAGACAGTCACTGCAGTGGTTTGTCTCATTGCTCCATTTCTAGTAGAGAACCACATGGAAGAAACAACATTGCCATGCTTTGGCTATCTGCTAAATTTAGTAAGCTTTGTTATGCGTCACTGGTGCCTAGCTATTTATGGTCCTGACTAACGTAATGATTGTTTTCATTTTTACTGTGTCACACAGCAAGGTTGCATCATGGGTTTCTCTCACATGCTGATGGCAATGGAGATTGGGTCTTAACTGTATTTACAGCTTTATCTCTGGTAAGTCTTGTTTTTTTTAGTTTTTTAAAAATAATTTTACTGTTTTTACTTTTCCTTGCTTCTAGTGTGGGCGCGTATATGTTTGTTTGTGTATATATGTATATAGAACAATGACCTGAAACTGATTATTATTATTATTTTTTTTCACATGCCATTGTTGATTCTATGATATTATATGTTCAGGGACTTGAGCTTCTTATATTGTATAACGTGGATGTTTTCTTAGGAAGTAGGTTTAGCTCAAAAAATAGGTGTGTGTCAATTTTCGTATGGAAAGTAACTTCAGTGAAATTTGATACACAAGTAGAGATGTAGTAAATAGAGTGTCAAAAGGTACCAAAAAATCCAACGTTGGCTTGCACAAAGGAGAGAATTTGGAGACAAGTTAAACATAGAATTAAAGTGAGATGAGTTAAGTGGAGGTGTGTGGCATATTGTGTGATCGTTGTAAACCACAAAATTGGAAGGTGATTTTTATAAAACAACCATTAGATCAGCCATTCTTTATTGGGAGAGCTGTTGGAGGCTAAGAAACAACATATTCATAATGGGAGCTGATATTCACACTCCACGATTGTTCCAGAAGGTATTGCTAAGCTTGCTAGCAATAGTTATATTCTACTTTTGCTGGCTAATTTTGTCATTTCATTTATTAAAAAGTTCAAGTGGAGCGCAAGTAGAGAAAGATATAGTGGTAATGTCATATCCCATTCATAAAATAGGCATGGTAGAAATATGAATGTGAGGATAGATGTGTGATAAGAAAAGAAATGATAGTATTAGAAATAAACAGATTCATGAGAGGGTTTGAGTAGTACCAGTTGGGCATAAAATAAATGAAAATTGATTATGATGGTTTGACTACATGCATCAAGGACCAATAATTGCACTTGTGTGGAGTGATATGGTCCACATTGAAGGCAATGACAGGTAGAGGAAGACTGAAGACCACAACCAACATAGGTTGAGATAGTAATAAAGATATGATTGTATGTCGTTTCACTGAGGTTTTGGCTTGCTTAGAGAAAAATAGTGAAACATCATTTATGTAGCCAACCCCAAATAACTGAAAAAAAAAAAAAGGATTTTATTGAATTGAGTTGAGTCATTTTTTTAAAAATTGGTGCATGATATGGCCTCTTTTTTGTATTTCTCTCTTACATTACCAGTAATTCAGTGAGAAGAATCTAGCTTTCGAGTGATTTAAGGTATAAGCCGACGTGAAGTTTCAAACCATGTAATAGAATTCTTATTCCAATTATACGGTATTGGTACATTAATCTTGATTTACTGTCATGAATTTAATCCTTATGTTGGAAAATATATTGGCCAGTGCAATAATGATTGGTGGCTCTGTTTTTAAAAGGTTACATAGAAATTATCTTCTTAGCTAGACATCATAGAATAAGGATGGATCTCATTGTAGATCCGTATCAGACAATGACCATTTAAGTTGATGTTAGAAACCAAAGTAGTACAGTCTCAGAAATGCAATCAGATCCACCAACAGATAGTTTTTATATTATCTTCTAACACAGCTAACTACATGTTTCACAATATACAGCTGATCTTGTATTCTTTCAGTGTAAGCCTTAATTTGCATGGTTCATTATTGTGGATTGGTTGCTCCTAGATCTGTTTCGTTTGTGGTTTTTGGACCTTTGAGGCATTACTGATATGTACAAATATATTTATCTTGCAGATAATTGATGTTCTAGAATTTATCCCTTCACATGTGGCGGTATGAACCTTTTTCTCTCTTACTCTGTGTATGTGCACACATGCATTTGCTCATGCGAAAATGAAAAACGTAAAACTTGATGCACTTTTTGTCTTTTTTATTCTCTGATTTTTTGACTGGATACTTTTCTTAGACTTATGTTTTTGACAATTAGAGGACTTGAGCCCCTGACAGTTAAATTGAGTTGTAGCCGTATACCAGTTAAAATTTAGAAAAATCTAAAATATTAAAAAAAAAAAAAAACTTCTTCTGTAACATGTAGATTACAAAAAATATTATCTCTATAGTTGTAATAATGCAAATATGATTCCCACATTGCGTATGGTGGTGCATTTGGAAGAAGAGGAAAAGCAGAATGTTCAAAGGGAAAGAGTCGTCCACGGCGACGCTGAAACTTCATATTATTCGCTCTCTTTTCAGTTATGTGAATAGGTGTTCTTGCTCCTCTTCCAATGATTTAATCATTTTTTTGGATTCTTTGGGTTCTTAGACCCCAGTTCCAATTTTGTATAAGGGACGCGTTCCCCTTTTGAACGCCTTTTTATTTAATTCTTACTTATCAAAAAAGAAAAAAATAATGCAAATATGATTCCCCTTTAAGAAATTTCGAAAACACTTGGCAAAACGTTATATTGGAAAATCCATCAAATTTCCCATGAACAACATTTGTAAATCTATCATCAAATGCTAATTTTATATCAGATTTAACTTTGAAGTGAAAATTTAGGAAATAATTAGAATTTAGAACTTACCAAAATTTTGAAGCAGTGGAAGCTTTTCATTAAAATGAAGCGTTATATATATATATATATATATATATATATATATTTATATATATATATATATATTTTAAGTTTTGGAGGCTAGATGTAGCCACGTCGGAGTATGCAGACATGCCACAACTCTCTGGGATACCAGGAAGTACTTGGTTTGGTGGCTGAAGTCTACGATGTGTTGAGATGACCTCTTTGCACTCACCTTTACCTGGCTTAAAACGAGATATCACTTGACTTCTTTGTATATAACATGACAATGCCATATTTGATCACGCCTACCATATGCAGCTATTGCACACGCTATAGTCTCTTTGGTGGATGGAGGCATCCCATTGAATTGTTGTGAAGCTTGTTTGGAAGCTGATCGCTTTAGTGCAACCCTATTGCCATTTGCCACAGCAGTCACCCCTATAGTTGCAAAGCCGCCCCTATTGCGTCTCAATTGGACAACATTAGTGCACATGGTTGCATCCTATTAGACCGCTGTAGGTACACATAGCTTGACCTCTGAGGCTGCCATGTTGGCTTGAATATTGCCTTGCTCTCCCTTACATGCTACAAGTCGACTCTACCACACACCAAAGGAAGACTCTTTTCGAGCGTGCGGAGACCCTGACATGTTTGAGACTAGGTACACTGACCCCTATCTGTAGTTTGACTCCTTGACAAGGCCCCGACCCAGAGGAATCAGCAATGACCTCAACTAAAATTCTCTCTTTAACAAGTGATCTTCAATTTCGACCTAGCATAGCCCACTTGGAATCTCCACCATATTAAGTGTGATGCATCTTCTACTTATTAAAAAAACCTGAACTGTTTGTCACAAGGTCCCGTCTTGACTTTTGATTACATAATATCAAAATAAAAACAATTTAAGGGCTTGCACTGACTGATAATTACCTCAAACTACAAATTTAGGGCCTTTCAGTGAAGGAATATATTTACATATCTCATAAACCCGGTCTTACCTTTTGGCACTTGAGGCCCTTCACCTAAGGATTCCATCTTGCTACTTTAGTGGGTTGCCTTGAAATTGGGCATGTGACCCCACATTTTTCATTGATTGCATGCATCCAAGATCATCATGTTCGCATCAAAGATTGCCATGTTCGTGCACCAGTGTTAGAATCATCATAGAATTGTTTCACATAACTAGTTTCTTGATCATGTTTCAAAATATCACTTCTCATGATTTTCATTATACATGTTTTAGGGTCTACATAATACATTGGGTAAAGTGCAAAAAAAATCCCTGAACTATTGGGGTTTTGCAAGAAACCCCCTTGAACTACAAGATATCCCCCTGAACTATGTTTTTGTTGCATTTAACCCCATTACGTTAGTTTCTGATGTTGAAAAAAGTAAAAGACCAATTTGCCCTTTTTACAAACTACGCCGTTTCAACTTAAAGACTAAAACTCAAGTCTCAATACTATCGACCGGTACTTATATATGCTATATTTATTATTTACCATACAAAAACTAAACCACAAAGGTAAACGTAGAGAGAGATGGAAAGAAGAGAGCAGAGAGAGCAAATAAAAAACATCAACCATGGCAAACTAAAGAGAGAAAATCAAACATGAAGAAGCATCCATGGCAGACGAGAGAGAGAGAAAATCAAAGATGTTCTACGCATCCGTGTTGTTGGGTGCGATTTTTGGACTCCCTCGATTCGCGTGCGCCTCAGCCGTGGTGGTTCCGGCCACCCTGGTGACGAGGATCATGGTGCGGTTTTTGGGGTTCTCTCGATTCCAGCACGAACCGATATTGAGAGTAGTGAGTTTGATTTTTTTTTTTTTTTTTTCCTGCACGAGTGAGTTGATTTAGGGATTCAGTTTTTGGATATTATGAAATTAGGATTCTAAACAATTGGGCTCTTGTTCGTCTATACAATAGCTAACAAATTTGATGAAAGAGACACAGAGAAAGAGGGCATCTATATATACATGATACATAAATGTATGTATGTGTGTGTGTATATATATATATATATATATATATATATATATATATGTCAACACAAAGCACAACAGACCCAGAGATCATTTTGGCAAATATATATATTTTTAATTTGTCAGAAAGCAAGACATATATGTGTATAGTCGGTAAACGATTTCCACAACAACCCAAATAGAGGGTTCATTTTGTTGTTTTTTTTTTTTTTTTTTTTTTTTTTGTTAAATTTTTTATATCAAAGTATGCCTTTTGAAGAAGATGAACAGTGTATATAGGTGTGTGTAAGGGCGTATTTGGGTGTACACAAGGTTGTGTTTGGGTGTAAGTTATTTAAAGAGGGGTTTGGGTGTAATGGTTACTATAAGGGGCAATAGAGTATTTTCATGTTTGCAAGGGCATTATAGTCAGTAAGTTATAATTTTTATGTCACGTGACCGCACATGCTATTTTACCAGTGAGATCCAACCGGAGCATCGCCAAATGGGGCTATCTGCAACAAAAATGTATAGTTCAGGGGGTTAATTGCATTTTTGGATCTTCAGGAGGGTTAATTGCATTTTGGCCAACAGTACAGGGGAGTTTTTTGCACTTTACCCTAATATATAATCAAAGTTAGAAATCTCACTTGAAAAAAATTTGAACAAGAAAATTAACATGGTGCAGAAGATATATTCTAGTTTAACAATAAAATTCATGAAATAAGATGTTCTGAATAAGAGGCATGTATTAACCTACCTGACTACTAGTTTAAAATCGATTGATTCTTTAACCAAGCACTTTTTCCTCTCTCTTGTCCTCCTTTGCTCTTCACTCCTCTCTCTTCTTTCCTGATCGTCTCTCTTTCTCTCTTCTTCTTGCTTTTGTTTCTAGTTTTAAATTTGATCATTGTGAATCCCGAAGATTGTGACTGTGGTGTAAGGATTTCTATAGTATTACATTGTTTAGTAATTAAGTTGGTGCAGAAAAACACAAGTTTTCTGAGACGTTCGTCAACAGTTTGATCGAATATCGATCCAAGTTCTTAACTTGGATCATTCTGGCTTTTATACTTGTTAGTTCCACCTACCAAAATGTTGAATCATCCACCACTAGAAACACCAGCTGGATCCTCCACAAAAATGCTGGATCTGCCCATAATCAGGCTGTTGGATCCATTCACCAAGGCACTGGATCTATTTGCCAGTGCATAATAGTTTACAAAAAACTGGAAGCCCCCAAATTTTCTCCTGATTTCTCACATGGTTAAACTTTATTTAAAAAAAATCACATTTAAACCCACAAATCAATGTATCCAAATTTACTAATTGTTTATTAAAATATAATCTTCTCTAATATATTAATAAAATTCTAAATGTTGTCTTGCTTGGGATTTTTCGCTGTCCAAAGACAGAATTTGGGTGGCTTGGTTCAAACAGATGTACCTGAGAAATGCCTCCTTTTGGAATGTGGTTACTAGGGAGTCATACTCATCAATTTGGAAAAGCATAGTAGCAGTCAGAGACATCATCAAAGACAGTTGCAGGTATAGGATTGAAAATGTTCAGAAGATTAAGGTTTTTTTGGATCCATGGTGTGAAGGAAAGTGTTTGGTTAATCTATTTAATCATAGGGTGTTGGGATATCTTAGCAGAAATAAGAAGATCAACTTGAATGAGTTCATAACAGATGGACAGTGGGATGATGTCCATTTGATGAATACTACACAGGAATTGATGCAGGTTTTTCATGATCAGAAGATATATGAGGGAGGGGATCAAATCAGATGGAAGACTAATTTTAGTTTCAAGGCAGCTTGGGAGGTTTGCAGAGTTACAAATCAAGTAGTGTATGCTGGTCTGGTTTATGTTGGAGTGGGGGCAGACCTAGCTGGTCTACACATTCAGTATTGGTTATGCAGAATGCAATACTCACTCATTCTTTTCTGCAAAAAAGAGGCTTCTATCTTGCTTCTAGATGCTGCATTTGTTATAGAAATGTAGAGTCCTTGGATCATCTCTTCTGTAGCTGTGAGTATACATGGCAAGTTTGGAATTACATTTCTGATACTTGTGCTTGGAATTTGCAGAGGGATATTTTTTTTTTTTTTTTTTGATAAGTAGAATTTGCAGAGGGTTTATGAGGTTCAAAATTTGCTAATGGTGTTATATCAAAAATTTCAAGGGAAGGGCAGCAAAATGGCTCGGATTTTATTTATCGCTGTGTTATATTTCATTTGGGTTGAAAGAAATGAGAGATGGCATAATCACAAGTGTAGAGATTCAATCATAGTAGTTAAAGGCTCAAGGTGCACAAAAGTGCAAAGGCCTCCTGGAGCCTGAGGTGCAAGGCAAGGCGCGCGCCCGACTGAAGCAAGGTGCACGATGAAAAAAAAAAACCACCCAATAACGATGCAATAGTATATATAAAGATGCAAAAGTAAACTAAATCAATTACTTAAGTTCAATATTCAACATAAAGGTGTTGTAACAAAATAAACCAGATTTCAATTAGCAAAATATACTAATTTCTATTAGCAAAACTAGATTTCATGTCAATTAGCAAAACCAGATTTCAATTTCAAAGCAATATTAACATTTCAATTTTTTTTTTTAAAAAATACAGAGCTGTGCAGTGACTGCAGTCCAGTTCAAAACTTCCAGTTCAGTTCATAAAAAAAAAAGAAAAAGAAGACGCAGATTTCATAAAAAAAAAAAAAGACTTTGTAATTTTCCTTATTGTTCATCAGTACTGTTTTTATGATTTTATCGTACTATATATAATATCTATACACTTGGAACACAACAATTATATAAATAGCAATCCTAGCAAGGCTGAGATCTTCATAATCAGAAAAAAGACCAATGAAATTAGATTCAAATTGATCACAAAGGAGATAAAGGATTAAATGAAAATTGAAACCAAAACACTAGGATTAAAAAATCTGTAAGTTGGAAAATTAAATTTTAAATGCCAAACTTAAATAAGTTTTGGAGAAGAAGAAGAAGAAGAAGAAGAAGAAGAAGAAAGAGAGAGAAAAGAAGAGAGAATAATTCCACCAAAGAAGAGAGAAGAAGAAAAAGAGAGAAAAGAAGAGAGAAAAGAAGAAGAAGAAGAAGAAGAAGAAGAAGAAGAGAGAAAAAAAGAGAGAGAAAAGAAGAGAAGAAGAAGAAAAAGAAGAAGAAGAAGAAAGAAAAGAAGAGAGAAAAGAAGGAGATCTGCCAAAGAAGAGAGAAGGAGAGAAGAAGAAGAGAAGGAGGAGAGAAGAAGAAGAGAAGGAGCAGTCAGCAGTCAGCACTCAGCAGATCGCAAGCCCTAGCCCTCTGTCTTTCTCTTTGCTTCAAATCACTTTCCTTTTGCTTTTCCTTTTATTTTATTGTTTTTCATTTTGTAAAGTTGTCCAAAACAGTAACAATAAACACCTAACAAATAATAAACAAATAACAAATAATAAAAAAATAACAAATAACAAATAAAAAGATGAGGTTAAAGAAGGCGTGCCTTTGGTACGCCTGGCGCCTTGCGCCTCTGCCGTAAAGGCGCGCGCTTGTGCAAAGGGCCACGACTTAGTCCCTTTCAGGCGCATGACTTGCGCCTGTAGGCGCCCTGGGCCTCGGGCTCGCGCCTTTGGTGCTTTTAACAACTATGGATTCAATGGAGCTAGCTAAGTGTATTCTATGGGCGGTACTTGATGTAATGGGGGTTAAATTTCAGGATATCTTGTAATCTTATTTTGCTAGTTAGTTCTGTTTTTACTTGCTCTAGATAGGGAGAGTACTGGTTTATAAGTGAGGGTATGCCCTTACTATTTGTCTTTGTACTATATTGTTTATATTTATACAATCCTTCATTTAGGAAAAAAATAATATATTAATAAAATTGCTATGGGTCATTATAACTCTCTTTGTTATTTGTCCCATCTAAAGTCAACTGCTAAATGCTATTTGAATATTTCGATTTTTCACCTTTTCCACTGGCACTATTAAATTGTGCTGTCGCTTATGTTGAATTCTTTTTCATGCAGGTGGTTTTTGATCATGATGGTGAGATTTATTATTCAGCAATATCTTTTATTTATACTGTATTTCCTTCATTGTTGTTTATGTTGTTACTTCATTCTCATTCGTGCTTATGTTTAATCAGCATTTTGTCCTCTATTATTTTTTCTTTTTTTTCCTAGTTGACACTCACACACCCTCCTTTTAGGAATTGTTTGCACCCAAGAGGAGTCGAACCTTAGGCCTGATGCTGACTTACCCACTTGAGCCATTGTCCTCCTCAATTCTGTTTATGTCCATCTTTCATACATCTATGTGGATTTCATAAACTTTTGTTAAAACCTTCATAAAGTGTTCTTAGTTTTACCTGATGAAATTCATTGTTGCTCCTTAATATTTATTTCACATCTCCCCTCCATAGTTATGCCATTGGTTTTGTTTTGTCAATAATTTGAAGAAAATCTTTAGTGGAAGATCTTTATATCTTTGAACCCCCTTTTTTTTGCGTCCTAAATTTTACTTTTTTTGGTTGAACTTAATAGCAATTATTACCAATGGGAATTAGCCGAAATGGTATGATTTCTCCTCCCCAAAAGGGAGGTTGAGTGTTCGAGCCCTGTTAGAGGCAATATTGGGGGTATTTCTGCATTTGCTTGAATTTTTTTTTTTAAAAACTTCATCCATTGTTTTGTTTTGTTTTCCTCTGATAAGTAAAACTTCATCCATTTTTAATAGCAATTATTATTCTCTTCTTTTTTTGGGTCCGAAAACTCCCTTATACCATCCATTTTTTGCACTAACCACTTCCACTAATTTTTTGGTAGATGACCCCCATATTACGCATGACGCTTGCAACTTGCCCTATCCATTATTGTTTCGTTAAAAACTAACATTCTAGTCACGTGCACGCACACGTTTTTATTTTTTAATTTATATAATGATGGTTTTACCCTCAAACTTAGATAGAGGTTAAATGCAAAAAATAAATATTATAGGGGGTTATCTGCAATTAACCTATTAATTGCATACAAGGGTCAAAAAATGGGTCTATAAGAACTCAAAATGGCTCCAATTCTGCTACTTCAACAATCATCTTCTTTCATTCATCTTAGTGCTTCGGTGTGGTCATTGTCTTCATCATGTGCTACTCCTGCAAGCAACATAGTCATATTTCTCAACATGAAATGTGGTTGTAGATGAAAAGCAAAAGTTGGTATATCTGAATCATTGCTTAATCCAGGCAAAATTGCTCATCACTTGTGCATAGGGTCGTCGCAAGTCTTTTTGGCTTCTAGGGGCCTCCATCATAATCTGGAAACTATCACGAATGGTAGCCTCCACCACAAGATTATAGCATTTATTAGTGGAAGTCTTCACCATGTATGACCTCAAAACCCTTGTTCAGATAGCACAATTGAAATTTAAGATCTTGATTTAAGAAGTGAGAGGAAACTATGGCATTCAATGATGAAAGGCATGATGGTGCCGGACATCATGGTTGTGTTTTTATGCTTTGTGACTGTTCTTGTTGCATTTTTATTGAAATGATTCAATTATGGAAAAGAGGGGGATCGTAATACCAAGTTTTTTCATAGAACTGCTAATGCTCATAGGAGGCAACCATATTGGGCGTCTGTGTGTGGATGGTACGGTCCTGTCTACAGAGGAGGAGGTGCGGAATGGGATGGGCTAGAGGTTCCTTTTTCGGAGGAGGAGGTGCTGAAGGCTCTCAAGAGTTGTAATGGCGATAAGGCTTCAGGCCCCGATGGTTTTACTATGAGATTTTTACTGGAAAGTTGGAGGTGGTTAGGCTTGAGATTATGAGCACTTTTCATGAGTTTCATTCCACGGGGAGATTTGAGAAATCACTGAACGCATCTTTTATTGCCCTTATTCCTAAGAAGGGTGGTGCTTCTAATGTCAAGGACTTTAGACCAATTAGTCTGATTGGGTGTATCTATAAGATCATTGCGAAAGTCCTTGCGCTTAGGCTGAGGGAGGTGCTTGATGGAGTTGTTTCTGAGTCTCAGAATGCCTTTATTGGGGGTAGACAGATTCTGGACTCGGCTCTCATTGCCAGTGAATGCGTGGATTCTAGACTTAGTAGTGATGTTCCTAGTGTTCTTTGTAAGCTGGATATCGAAAAAGCCTACGATCGTGTCAGTTGGAATTTCCTGTTGTATCTGTTGGATAGGATGGGCTTTGGTGCGAAATGGAGGAAATGGATTACTACATGTATTTCCATTGTCAGATTTTCGATTCTGGTTAATGGGTCTCCTACGGGATTCTTTGGTAGTTCTCGAGGTCTGAGGCAGGGGGACCCTCTTTCCCCATTTTTGTTTATTATTGTTATGGAGGCCCTTAGTAGGCTGATGAGAAGGGCTGTGGATTTGGGGTTTATTAGGGGTTTCAAGCTCGGCCCTGAATCGGTTCAGAAGATAGAGATTTCTCACCTTCTTTTTGAGGATGATACCATTGTTTTCTATGAGGCTGAGGTGTCCCAGTTGCAGTATTTGAGATGTGTTTTGGTTTGTTTTCAGGTTGTCTCTGGTCTGAAAGTCAATGTGGGTAAAAGTGTGCTTGTCCCTGTGGAGGAGGTGCAGGATGTGGATTCTCTGGCTGCTGCTTTAGGCTGTGGGACTCAACGCTTCCCTATTTCTTATTTGGGTCTACCGCTGGGGGACTCGGCAAGGAGGGTGGGAAGTTGGGACCCGGTGATTGAGCGGGTCGAGAGAAGATTGGCTGGTTGGAAAAAGCAATATCTCTCCAAGGGTGGAAAAGTCACGTTAGTGAAGAGTGTTTTGTCAAGCCTTCTAACATACTTTCTCTCGCTTTTTAGGATTCCAGCCTCTATTGTGGGAAGACTGGAGATGCTCCAACGGAATTTCTTTTGGGGGGGTCTTGGGGAGGAGTTTAAATGTCATCTTGTCAAATGGGATTAGGTTTGCAAGCGTCTTCAGCTTGGTGGTCTCGGAATTAGAAGACTTGGTGGTCTCGGAATTAGAAGACTGGCCCCTTTTAATTATGCTCTTCTAGGCAAGTGGCTTTGGAGGTTCGGCAGTGAAAGACATAGATTATGGCGAAAGGTTATTTCTTGTCGTTTTGGGAAAGAGAGGAGGTTGGTCAGCTAGGCCTGTTAGGGCTGCTTATGGTGTGGGGGTGTGGAGGTTCATTGGGAAGGGGTGGGATGAATTCTCCAAACACATTAGATTCAGAGTTTGGGATGGAAGATTTGTCAGGTTTTGGGAGGATTCCTGGTGCGAAGATAGGCCTTTGGCTCTGTTGTTTCCAAGATTGTTTAGGATTGCTGTTGACAAACATGCTATGGTTGCTGACTGCTATCGTCTTGATAGCGGGACGTTGTCTTGGGATGTGCGATTCAGGCGACCTTTTTAGGATTGAGAGTTGGATGATGTCACTGGCTTGTTGGCCCTTTTGTATAGACAGGAACTGGATGGCACTGGTGTGGATTCCTTGTTTTGGGTGCCTTCTTCTAATGGGATGTTCCAGGTCCGGTCATTCTTTGTGCGCCTCACTGGGTTTCATGGGTTGCCCTTCCCGTGGAAGACGGTGTGGCTCTCTAAGGCGCCCCTTAGGGTGGCCTTTTTTGTGTGGACTGCAGTTTGGAGTAAGATTCTGACTTTGGACAATTTACGGAAGAGAAGACATATCATTGTTAACCGGTGTTGTCTTTGCAAGTGTGTTGGGGAGTTCGTGGATCACCTTCTGCTGCATTGTCCTGTTGCTTATGAATGTTGGACTCTTTTGCTTGGTTTGTTTGGCATCCATTGGGTCATGCCTTAGACTTCTCGAGGATTGCTAGATATCTGGAGGGGCCAATGGGTGGGGGCTCAGGCTAGAGACTTCTGGAGGGTGACCCCTCTTTGCGTTTGGTGGAGTCTTTGGAAAGAGCGGAACAGAAGATCTTTTGATGGGAATGAGTCCTCTATTGGAGAGCTGAAATTTTTTATTATTTGTACCCTTTTTTGTTGGGGTTGGGGGAGGGATTATTCTTCTTTAGAGGACATTGTGGACTTTTTGGGTTCTTTGAGTTCATAGATTCTTTTTGTGTATATCTCGGGACGCGTTCCCCTTTTGAACGCTTTCTAATACATTTTACTTATAAAAAAAAAAAAAAAAAATGAACTGGTGTTCTGTTATTTGGATGAGATTGCAAAATTAGTGATTGTAGTGATGTATTTGGAAGCCTCCCATATACTACTGATGGATTTTGTCAATGGCAATGGAGGTTAATTTAATTTAATGATTGATTGAAAAATTATGTAGGTTAATTGTAGATAATTCCCTTATATTATCAATTTTTTTGCATTTAACCCCTTGTGCTACGTTTTGGGGGTAAAACAGTTTTTATTTGAAAAAATCAAAACATTTGCGTCCACGTGTAAAAAAATCGTCAGTTTTTTAACAGAAGATGGGGCAAGTTGCAACCATTTTGTGTAACATGGGGGTTATCCGTGAAAAACTTGGGGGGGGGGGGGGGGGGGGGGGTGGGGTTAAATGCAAATAATGGATAATATTGTGTTTTTTGCAAATAACATTTTTTTAATAGGTTGAATTTATTTCAAAATGGACACATCACATACTTGGTGATATATCTTCTGATATAAAAAGGGACTTTTAGTTTTTTCCTTTAAACGCAAAACAAATAGCACGAATTTATTGACCAATCATGTAAATCTTTATGGTTAATTTTACTGAAATTTCCTCGGCACTCAGTTGTCATTGTTCGTTTCAGAATTTTATGGTTCTAAAGTCCCTTTTGATACCGTTTGATAGAATGCGCTTCACTAGAGTATAAATGTACAAGCTCTTTGAAAAGATAAGATGTGAATATTTGTCTCAAACTAGTTGCAGCATCATGTGCAACAATGATAACTAGTCATCCTTTCACCTATTGTGGTGCTAATGATCTTTTGATATTTTCTTTTCATATTTTATGTGGTGGTAGTTGAAAATATTATGTACATGGTGCTTTTCCAGCAAATATGGAATATCTGGCCATGTGGAAGATCCAAATTGAAAGA